GATTCCAACATGGATTTTAAAATGCACAATCCTCTGTAAAGCTCTCACACCTTACTTTCTATATGCAGCCCTTTCCTCTCTACTCCATCTCCACTACAACTTCCACTTGTTTTGTTTTTGGAGTTTGGCTTCAGGAAAAAACCCACCATAATAGATCACCTGCTGATCCCTGTTGGTCCCCAAACCAGTGACCCCATTTATTCCCATTTATCTGATGCACAAGTACCATTTGAGAGTTTTTATTTTGTAGCATTTCTTGTTAGAATACATTCACATAAACACTGAAATATGAGCAGCAGCAGCAATTATACTGTTCATAAGCTATTAATGAATTCCTGTTAAACTATAACTATTATGGATCAACATTAAACTAGTCTGCAGTTTTATTACATGCCATTTTTCACTTTTAAGGCTTCCTGAAATGAAAAATTATTTTTTAAAAACCAATATTATGAGCTGAACATGGCTGCAAATGACAGAGAATCATATGAAATTAGTTGTGCTCCATGCAAATAAAAGTGGTGTCAATTTCACCATTAAACTGAGATATTTCTTTTGAGAACAAAGTAATATTAAAGAAGCTAGAGTCAGATTAAATATGCAACTTTTCTGACTTCTTTGTGGGTAATTTTACTGCTTATTTTCCTAATTTTTACCCCAAGTGACTGCTGATTCTGGAGGGCACTGCAAAGCAAACTAAAAGTCATTAGAATAATGAAGAGTGCACACTAAACTATTGTGCATTAACCTTCCACCTTTCAGTTATATTAGGCGTGTGATGCCATTAAGTGGTGGGATGATATGAATGAGAGCCGTGAGATGGGATGTGAACGTAATGATGTGAGTCCTGTGCTTCTGAAGGCAGGTGGAGGCTGGAGGTGTTTTAATGACCTGCATCATCACAGCTAATGGGACCATTTATTTTCAGACAAAAAAAGAAGTTAATAACTGTTTTTCTTTGCGTCGTATCCACTGAGCTCTCGCGTCTTCCCACACTTGCTGCCATTTTCACGTTTTTCATCATCTTTCACTTGACATCCTCTGATATAGACACAAAAACACACCCTCGCTAGTCCAAAAAGCCCTTCATTAACTCACACCCTTTTGTGAATGAAATAGTAGACTTTCCACTTGATTTAAATAGAGGTTATCCAAGTTGCAATGTGACAAACTGTCTGCTTAATCTACCTCTAAAGCTTTACATGAGCAGATCTACACGATGGTGTTGTGCAGCTTGAGCTTTGCAAAACAGGTGAGCAGATTTTAGAGAGCATGTGCATGTAGCAAAGAACAAATTAGTGAATAACTGGAGGGGATTGGTGCTGGGTAGGGGTGCACGGAAGTCTTTGTCATCCAACTTAATTATGTCAAAAAAGTGTTTGCAGTACAAACTATGATTTTTTTTACATGAAGACAAATGAGCAGTCATACCAAAGTGATAAAAAAGCGATAATGCACTTGAGCAGCAACAATAAGACAACCCCACAGTTCTTCTCGTGGCCGCCTGAGGCTGGATCCAAAGGAGAGTCAGTCGCTATAGATTGCACAAAAGTGCACAAAACATTCCTTAGTGTATATATCATTGTATGCAGATGTGTTGAGGTCGACCTATCAAATATTGGGGCCGCACATCACCTCGTTTTAGCTTCTCAGCCACCACAGGTTTT